CGCACCAGAACGCACCTTCGCTCCTATTTATTGGTGCATGGAAGGGCATGTGTGTTTGGTGGTGTCTCGTCCATACATTTTGTGGGCGTACATTCCCCTGCAGGCTGAGGGCGGGATGACGCTCCGTCGCGGTGCACTTCCCTCGCATGCCGCTCACTGTGATTCATCATGCATCACCCTCTCACATATTCCGTGGTGCCACACCGCTGATATTATTCCGGCCGCTGTGATTCCGCGTATTTCACGCATTTCATTGTGCCACAATACATCCGCTCGTGTGGCCGCCGCATCCAAACAGCGGTGCCCAACACCGTGAGCGGCAGTCCACATCCTTGCATGTCCCAACGCAGTGGTGTTTGACCGTCAGTCAGGCGTCAGACAACAGGAGAGTCTTGTGCTGGCAGTAAAACACACGGAGCTGCAGTGAATGACTCGGGCGGCGACGCATCTATTCGTCGCAAAGCAGTGAAAAGGAGTCGGGCAAAATAATGCCGGCTGCACTCACGACACCACATCCACAGTCAAGGCATGCGACGTGATGTGTGTTTCACTGGTGCTGTGAAATGCCTGCAGACGACGTCACTAGTGGAGGCATGCCACCCATGATCAGTGGACAGACAATAATCGGCATGGGAGGCCACAAAAGGCAGCAACGACACCAGCAGCAGGAGCAGCTCTCTCTCTCTCTCTCTGTCTCTCTCTCTGTTGTCTCCGAGAAGTAAATATTCCACCAGCCACAGCTGACGGTGCCATCGTGACACTCCATGCACGTCGTGGCCGCGTCAACACATCCTGTTCCCTGCTGCGCCTCAAAAGATGCCTCACTCCGTCCACTGAGTGCATCGGTGTGTGCCGTGCCTCGGCTGTTCGTGAGAACCGCAACGATGTGAGGGTCACCGAGTCGCAGCATGTTTGTTGTGACGCTGTTGCATGGCACCTGCACACACACACGCAGCGCCTGCATCCCTCCCTTTTGTGTTCGCCCTCCGCCGGAGTGGCCACACACACGGGCAGCAGCAAAATCACTTCACCCTCGACGATCCAAAATCAACACCGACATCCCTTGCGACGCAAACATCTCAGTTGCCAGCACGGGCTTCCTGCCGCTCTGTCATCGACGATGAAACACGGCACAGTGCATGCACTTATTTTCCTCGTGCTCCGTTAGCCGTTTGCTTCACACATTCTTCGATGGGCTGACGCCCACAAAAGCACGCCACAAAAGGCCACTGTGATCGCACATGCTCTTGCGATGGGCGTCGGTGTGTGCATGCATCCGCTGCTCACACGTGCTGGCAGGCAGCCTGCAGCCGGTGCCCTCGTGCCAGTTCATCGGCTCCAGCACGGAAAAGAGAAAATGGCCCATTCCTGATGCACTTATTCCCACCGGCAGCACCAACACGCTGTTCGTCAGCCTTCATTCCTCAGCATATCCAGGAATGCTGAAAAGTGACGTGGAACTGTGAGCCAGCAATGCCAAAATCTCCGCACACATGTCGGCACCACCAGGGAGGACACACAAATCACAAACAACACCCTCCAAATGATTTCCGAACATCATTCCGACACACCGCGACACGCCAAACAGAAGTATTCGTCACTCCAACGCTCCTCCCCACACAATCACATAGTCCATGCACCACGCACGGCAGCAGCCCACACGCGGTCAAACAAATGTTCTTCGGATCAGTGTTATCGACGTGCTGCGGTGGGAAGCAAACAAAAGAGACGAGCGGCCAAGCTCCAAAAGAGTGCCACGACTGGCCGCAAGTCAGCGGAACGCAGCCACTCAAATGAATTCAGTCCTCATGCCCTCAGCCTCCCACCTTCCCCCCACAAAAGCTGCAAAAGATTGAAAACAAAAATAACGTCCAATAAATTCTTTGTGCAAAACCAAAAGAAGCCACGGCGCCTTATGCTTTCCTCACGGTACGTTGATGACACCTTCACGTAAACAGAAGCCCGTCGGTTCTTCACAGTGATGCCACGCAACAGCGCCGCATCCTTCGGGAACGCCCACCCACCGTACTCGCGCAGCGCGTTGAGAATGAAATAAACATTCTCGAACCAGACCGCTAAGCAGACCGCGCCACGCCGCCGTCAGCCGCAGAGGCTGGTGCGTCCCAGCACGCCATGCGATCCTTTCTGGTTGGATGCGTCCAAAGCGCGTTACGCCGCAGCGGCGAGGCAACCGCTCCGTGTCCGGCCCCCACTCACCTCCACAGCCTCGCTCGGCCCACGCGTGTCAGCGAGGGATGCTTCTGTCCACCTGGAAGCCAATCCAGCACCGCTGCGGAGGATCATTGGGTTCCGCGCACCCAGACAGCACGAACGGCTCACACGCCTCCGATATATTGAGGACGTGCGGGGCGTAGCCCCCACGGAAACCACGCCGCCGCCGACGCATGGGAAGGCAGCGGCGATTTTCCCGCTGCCGGGAGGCGCCGTCCTCGATGGAGCGCGACGCGTCTGCGACTGCATGGTCTCCCCGGACCACATTTGCACCCCTCACACTGAGCACCGCATTGCCGTCTGGGACGCTGTGAGCCGCGACAGGGCGGGCGCCTTCCAGCCACGGCGTGCCCACGACAGCCCGGACGACGACGCCAGACGATAGGCCGTAGAGGCGGCCTGCGCCTTTCTGGGGCCGTATGGCCCAGGCCGCTGGACGGACGGCTTGCTGAGCGTGCGTCTGGATCCGCGGCGCTGCCACTTGAGTCCCCGGACAGCCGAGCTGCCTGTGGGGCCTCACCGCACAGCTGCTGGGAGTCTCGCATGCTCCTGCCGAACGGAGTGTCCTGCCACTGAGCATGGCCTCAGACACTTCCCAGTTCCCCGCCTGGCAGCAGCATCCCAATCGCCCAAACGAGTTTCTGTTGCCACGGACTGCCTCTCGGCGATCGAGGCGCTCCGCGTCAGCGCGCTGGCGGCGCACGACGACGTCACCGAGGGAATTTGAACCATGCCGCTTTGACTGGCGGATCGAGGTCGCACAGTTGGCTCCGCATTTTCCCCATGACACTGCGGAATCCCACGCAACGTGACAGCGGACACTGTTGCCGTCACGGCGCGATCCCTCCAGCAAAACTGCGTCAATGCCTGGCACGTGGGCTTCCTCACCGCAGTCAGGCGACCGTAGTGGAAGGATTTCCAAGAGGAAAAGGAAGGTGCGCACACCGCACGGCCGGCGCCTGTCAGTCTGGCGAGGGCTCTGTTCCTGGCGTCCGCCCGGACATTTTGCCCCGAGCCGCAGCACCGCACACAGGCGCGACGGGACTCCTGCCCGCTCTTCGACAGGCCTGCGCGCGTCCTGCGGGTCACAATTGGCCCTCTGTGTCGGTGGCGCCGTCCCTCACTCACTGCGGTGGCCGGCCCGCCTCGGCCCCCGCCGGAACCCCTTCCCGACCTGCGGCAGAGCGCGCTCGTCCGTCCACAATATGACGGCACATGCTCGACGAATCTGCCCTGGCACTCCGATCTTTGAAAGCCTCAAATTCGCTTTTTGCCACAGGTCTGCGGTCTTCAAAAGCAAGCAATTCGCGCGTAGGTTGCTACAGAAAATGCCAGCGGTATCAACAGGCCAAACACGGACAACGCAACTCCGCAAGCTCCAACGACAACCGTAGCTCTTCAGCCACTCCTCTGCTGCAACTGTCACTGGCCGCTGAGCACCCCAGACGGTCCACGGAAGATTCTGCCGCACATGCTGCGGGAACGCCCCCGTCTTTGACAACTGGGCGTTGGATTATTTGGGCATACCCCCTCACACGGCAGCGCCGCTCAAGAAGGAAAAACGGCAACGGCCCACGCACAGCCATCGGAATCTTGACAAAAAATAGACGCAACATATAGCAAAAACATTTACCTGGAACGCTGTCCGGACCTTGCGGTTGCCAATAGGAGCCGCACAAGACGGGAATGAGAAGGGGCGAACGGCACGGGGACGGGGTTCGCCAAATCCTCGATGAGCATTTACACCAAGCGAGTGCGCATTGTGGTGTCGACTGTCGCGGCGTGATACCTCCATTCGGGTTGGCGTGCGTGTGCGTATATATGTGTGTGCGTGTGTGCCTTGATAGCTCACGGGATGCCGGATTTTGGGCTCTTCCAGTCACACGACCCCGCCGCAGTGTGGGGATCACAAAGTGGGCGGGCGGGACGGCAGAAGCAAAAACAATTAAACATTGTTTAGATGCCTCCCTGCTTCCGGAACCGCGCCAGTCAAAGGTTAATAGGGAAAAAGTTCGTACGGAGTTCTCTTTATCAGGTTGTATATTAAATTATATAGCCAGCCTGCCCCGCGAACATTTTCACAATCTCCTAAAAACTCCTCCGGGAATTTGGGAAGAGGCTCGTCCTCAACGCCCACAGAAGGAAAAGAAAAAAGAAAAATGGATGATCGTCAAAAAGCGCTCAGGGGCGACGTTGCAGTTTTTGAGCGGAAAAATCATTCAAGACGAAACACCGGCAAGGAAACTGAAAACCAGGCTTATCCACGCAAAAAAAAAAATATATCCCGGGATACGGGCGAAAAATGGCCTGCTTGCATAGATCCAGTGGAGGGTCCCGCCGCAGCGCGGTTCTGAAGATCGGAGTGGCGCAAAGTTACTTCTGCATAAATGAAATGGCTTATTGCAGTAAACAACAACAAAAAACGAAAACACACGGTGCCTCAGCGTGTTGAAATCCCTTCCGTTCAAACGGACCATAACTTTCTCCATAAGAATAATTGTGTCGCGCACAACTCCCTCCGCCGGGACATTTTCAACCATGAGACCCATTTTTTTCCCCCTTTTTTTTTATTTAATAAATACTGTCTTTTCTTCCGCGTCTGAATGTGAACAACAACAAAAACACTACTAAGCAAAGGAGCAAAAACAACAACACGGGAATGCGTCCGGGTGGCTGTGGTAAGAAGGAGTGAAAGCCATTGCTTGAGAAACCGAAAAAGGCGTAATAATAATAATATTAATAGTAAAGAAATTTCTTAGGCTGTAGAATCACTTCTTCCTTTCAGGCATCTTCCCCGTTTTCCTTCGTAAACCCAATGCGCGTGAGGTATGGGCATCGATTTCTCGCATTGCAATGCGGTATTCGTTCCGCATCCACGGTACAGTGAAGGCCACCGTTGCAAAAAAAGAAAACAAAAGCGCTGCCTTGATGGCTATGACAGGCCAATCATCCACTTCGTCCCCCTGTAAACGGGTTGCCTGATAAAAACTCACGAGAAAGGGGAGGAATGAAGCCATACATCCCACCATATAGTGGTGTGAAGTGAAGATTACATGGATAAGCAGTGAAGAAATACCCCAGTATTGAACAATGTAGAGAAGCACCATGGGTTCCAGAAATCCATCAGGTGTGGTTAGCACCCGCTCCGCCCATGTTGGGTCTTTAGCGGCCACCTGCATAAGATAAAATACCACATTTGCTAAACAAAGTAAAAGCCAAATGGTAAGGAACGCTGAAAAGAGTGGTGCATTAAACCTCGACGCAAACAACAGCGCACGTGAACTGCCAAGGTTGGCGGAATACCGACAGGCCAATCCAGGATTTTGTTTACCCGATTTCATGCGACCAATAAATGGAATGAGCATGAAGACAAAACAAGTAACGAGTGTTATGCCAATGATTGGAATAAGGAGTGGCAGGTTGGACTCAATATTTTGCCAATCCATACAACTCACCACAATTTTTTTTTCTTGTTTCCGTTGCCAGGCGCGCAGCTGTTCTTCCACATCGGTGTAATTGCGGCTCGTAGCCATAATTTTTTTCTGTTTATGCTGGCACCAATTCACGATTTATCCCTCGCTTTGCCTTTACTTGCTCTTGGTACTATATCGTAATCCGCTTTCCTCAATGCAAGGAAAAGGGCAATGCCGGAAGGAAAACGCGGGAAGAAAAAGAAGGAAAAAGACACAAACATAATAATAATAATAATAATAATAATAATAATAATAAAAGCCGGACGTAAACAATCGATTATCCAAGCCAAAAATGAGCACAGAAGGAGCGTGCAAAAAAAAAAAAAAGAGAGCGAGAGAGAGCGCATGAAAGTTGAATTCACCACATAATGTCATGAGGGCTCAAACAGATCTGGAAATGCTTCTCTGTCTCTCCTCACCACACAGGAGCGCACACCGGGGCAGAGATTCAATACCACCCGCGCTACAGAAGGATCGGTGGTAAACGGAGACCTAGCCATAAATTGCCACTTCCTCCATTTTTGTTTATGTCACTCTCACCAACATTGAATAGACGATCCGTGATCTCATCTACACACATTATACCATAAGCCGGAGCTCGCACGAATCCTTCCTCCTCATCAGGGGCGTTATTTTCTTTGCTGTCAATTGTGCCTTCCAAATCCTCCACATATCCATAGACGCGGATCTTCCTGTAATCTTCCCACCCTACTCTCATTGCCTCCCGCATCATGGCTTCATTGCCAATAAGCCGAATAATAAATAACGCGGCCACACGCAAGTATTTATGAACATCCTGATGCAACATTGCTAACACAATTGAGGGGTCCGGTGTGATCTGAAGAAGTCGTGTAACATGACAAATAAATGGTTCAGGTTTCTGTAAGGGTCCAGTTAAACCTCCCACATATTGCGGAGTTATAAGGACCTCCAGTGTTGCTAGCAGCGGCTTGTGAAAACTGGATGCCATAGCATGGGATTGCATGATGCGGTGCCGGGTAGAGGGATCGAGCGCGGCCACCGCACTGCGCCCTTTTAGATTCCACATCATTCGCTTTTGACCCTCCATTGACCTCTCAAATCCTCACGGCGTGTTCAAAAAAAAAAAAAAAAAGATAAAGAGCGAGGAATTAAGAAAAGACATACACACACACATATGTAAAAAACAACAACAACAACAACAACAGACAATCGTGATAGTAGAAATGATGCTGGTAAAAGAAAGAGAGGTCCAAAAGAACCTACAATAAGCTTGGGTCATTTCAAACATCCAACCAAAGCAGTCGCTCAATTCAAACATTCCTATCGAAATGGCTTGACGGCTAACCATATCACAAGCGGCGCCTGCAGAAACGCGGCACTGTACGCTAGTAGCCTCGCGTTGGGAGGAGTCCGTCCTTCTCGTTCATACATGCGCATTACATTCTTAACAACAAATACACCGTTGGCAAACAAGATGTAGGTAGCCATGGTGCCAATGTAGTAAGCATCGCTTTCAAATTGTAAGAGCTCCCTCAAAAATACAATGATGGACACCGTAAGATACTTGTATCCAGTCAAGGCCATCAGTTCCAAAACGTTTATATCCGGCACAATACGAAGAATATAACTTACCATCTTTAACACAAAAACTTCACCTAAAAACCAGAATACTAGCGCTGAAGCAAAACCCAAAAGATCTTCATTTGTCACACGGTGGTGATGCAGTCCATGTACGAATCCAGAAAGGATGATGTATGTGACAGCACCCATAAGGGGCAGATACAGGTCCAATGCGTAAACGTTATTTGTGGGTAGGGCTGTCGAAGTCGTCGGATACGTGCGACCCGTGGCTGATATAGGTGAAAAAGGCGCTGAGTCTCCCCCAAAGCCGGCAGATCCTCCAGTTACTTCCTGTTCGCAGCCTGGTCCCTGCTCATCCTTCCTAAAGCTCCGGGTAAAGGGGAATAGTAGAATCCCCAGTTTTCTCTTCACATACTGATTATCAACGCGAAAATAGCGGTAAATGTTGGATATAACAGGCATATGCCGCATAAACTTCTGCTCCCCTCCTTGAAGCATGCTCTGACCATATTGCAGCCCCATCTGAAGCATTATCTCCTGAGGGTTACCACCCCATGGTGCCGGAGAGTTCGGCTGAGGTTGCGGCGAAGCTGAATTGTAAGGCGAAAATGCAGACATGTCTGAAGTGTTGTCCGCTTTTTGTCCACGTTTCTTTCTCTCTTTCTCTCACACACTTTTTTTTTTTTTTTTTTCTAAACCAGTTCTCTCTGTATTTGTGTGATCGCGTGCGCGGTAACTGATGGAGGCTACGTTCCCAAAGAATCAACCAAAAAAAAAAAAAAAAGAAATTCCAAAGAGGGAACCATCCCTTTGATGAAACACACCCTCCCGTACACTTACATTCAAAAAACTCATAAAGGCAACAAACAACCTGAGGGAGTGCCCCAAATCCACACAATACACAAACTTTCTTCTGTTCCACCTACCCACCCACCCACCCGGCATTCCTCTATTTGTGTGATCGTTCATTCATTAAATACCCTTTACACGTAGGTGGGGAATATGATTATTTACGCTTGTTCATAGTGCATAGATATTTATATCGTTCAAAACACTCCTTGGCATTTTTGCCGTCCACCATCGCCGCAATCTTCTGAAACTTATCCCTTTCCTTGTATTCCTTCAATTCCCGCAATCCCTGCTCCAGCATTTTTTGCTGCTTCACCGTCCAATCCTCCGTGGATAGAACCGGGGGAACTGCCGCTGCCGCTCCACCTGCAGACGGTGGAAATTTGGATGTATTTGAAAGAGGGGGTTGCTTTTGCACTGGAGTACGCGTGTTCTGGCCGCTGTTATTTGAATGATTTAGTGCGGCTGTAATTTCATTCAACTTCCTCATTGCCTCCTCCTCCGTGAATTTACCACGCAACATTTCGGCAATTTTTCTCCAACGGTCTACCGCTCCCGGTGGGTACTTTGCGGTTGCCTTCTGCAGGCGAACCAAATCCTCCTCGTCCCAGTTTGCTGTCGGTTTGGGGGTAATCTTCTTTGCCACCTCAACGACATCGGTGGAAGACGGTGGATGCTTCTTGATGGGCTCGCCGTACCGCGTCACCCCAATGCGCCGCTCGTTTTCCTCAACAAGTGCATTGAAACGGAGAACCGCCTCCACGGTTAAACCCTCCTCCTCGTCATCATCACCGATCCTATTACCAACACCCTCGCTTCCTCGCGTCGTGTCGACAGGACGACGCTCCGTACTACAACTCATCACATCCGAAAGGATAGCGGCGGCCTGCGCGGGTGTGCTAACCTTTGAGAAAATCCACACGACATTTGGACGGCGCACAGTGTGCGGCAGCAATTTGTTCGTCGTTGTTTCATCAAGGAGGCCATGCTGCTCCAGAAATGCCAGCAGGTCTCTTTGTGCCTGACGAATTTCATTTTTAATTTCCAATTGTTTTCGTTGCGCCTCCTCCCGCTGGAGGCGCTCACGTTCCGCCTCTTCCGCACGCCGACGTTCTTCTTCCTCACGTAATTGACGGCGTTTCAGTTCCCTCTCCTCCTTCTCACGCTGCCGCCGGGCTTCGTCTTCCTCTCGCTTACGGCGTAGTCGGGGGTCATTTTTTCGGGCCCGCTCCACAAGCGTCCGCAGGCGTTGCTGCTCCTCCTTGCGGAGGTGATTCAGCTGGCGCTCATTCCCACGTGCGTAGTAACGCTTCTCCTCGCGGCACATGCTATCGTCTATTTCATCAAGCTCCACCAAATGAGAGAAGTCACGCCAGGACTGAAAATGCGCCCAGCGGTCATAAAATCTGTACACCGCCTTTAGGCTTGTGTTGTCGTCACCAATGGACGGTAGGTCCCGCTCGCTGCTCCACTTCTTATTGCGCTCAAATACAGGTCCAAAGGTGGCATAAAAATCCGCATTTGCCGGCAACGTCTCATTGGGAATCGAGTCATCAAAGGGCCGAGAGGAGTCGTACGCCAAACGGGTTTCAGAGTCCCCAAGAATATCAAAGGCGCGCTGCACCTTCTTGAAGGCCTCATCCGAATGGTCCTTCTGTTTGTCCGGATGTGTTTCCAGACAGCGGCGGCGATAGGCCGTGCGAATCTGCTCCTCCGTCGATCCATCATTCTGACTCAGCTGAAGCACTTCATACCAGTCAACGCCCAAATCCTCGTCCGTCAATTTAACAAACTTTTTCCGACGAAATGTCTGCTGCCGTCGTCCCTCTCCGTTCCCACCGGTGCTGCCGTCATCGCTCTCGTCTAAATCGGAACCACTCATTGCATGGGGGTCTCCGTGACGCCGTGAGTGCTGCAGCTGTTCCTCCACCCACACCTGCGCGCTCGTTCTCGCCTGTTGCTGCAAGGCTAACCCACGCGGAAGCACACGCACTCTGGTTGCAAGACCAAAGAAAAGTTTGGGGTCCACACGAAAAGGGATTTCCTCGGCCCCATCCTCCAGCCGTGGAATTTCGGGCACCGAAAAGGCCAGCATATTTTTTCTCCCTACAGAAATAGGAGCAACTATATATATATATATATATACGTGTCTGTACCCCTTTTCTCTTCACTGAATGGTCCCTAAAAAGATAGAGGAAGGGATGGAACACGTCACATGACAACAGCAACAACAACAGCAAGAAGAAAACACACCCAATAAAACTAGTAAAGAGTAAAAAAAAAAGACCCCCACACATACATTACAAAAGAAAGAAAGAAAAAGATTTCTATGGACATGTTGACGCACTGCCACGCGATTGCAGAGTCAAGGGCATAGGTGTAAGTTAAGCGGCGCCGTATCACACCTTCTTTTCCTTCTACTTCCTGTTTTCCACAAAAACGCACAACCCACACGCACACACACACAGAGAGAGAGAGAGAGAGAGAGGGACGCACCCCAACGCTTTATTCATCACTCACTCGCTTTTCCTTTCTTTCTTTCCTTCTTTTTTTTTTCCCTCAAAAAAAAGTCCGCCACAATAAATATTAAATGGGAACAGCAGCACAAGTAGCAGTGGCGGCGCTTACCAAAAGAAGAAAAAAGCATTATATATATATATATATATTGATGGATGAACTCAAACCCGACTCCGCATCTTCTCTCTCTCCTCCCCTTATCACATGCCTGCTCGTTCATAATCTCACAATTTCCCCGGTTCTCATTCTTCTCTCTTTTTTTTTTTTTTTTTTTTTAAGCTTAAACAGATATAATTACGTTTTCTTCTTCCCCCCCCTCCTTTTTTCTTTCTTCCATGTCGACTCCATGTCTCTTCTGTGCTCTTTCCGTCTTTACACACACACACAGAGAGAGAGAGAGAGAGAGAGAGAGAAGGGGAGGGGAGGGGAGGGGAGGGGAAAGAACGACACACGTCGTTTGAAGGGGAAACCATCAATGAGACGGGCTACGGCGTCACATGCTCATTGCCAACAACAACAACAACAACAACAACAATGGCTACAGCAAACAAAGACTGTTTAGGCAAAGTGGACCAGTATAACAAGAAGTGTCCGCCAAATATACAAACAAAAATAACAACAAAAGAAGACAAAAATAAAATAAAATAAAATAAAATTGGAAATAATAAACTGGAAAAATTTAAATGCAAATTAGAGACATTCCGACCACCGTGAGAAATAACAACGGACACGAGAGCATCCATTAACTGCAAAACAGTTGGATACGATGTACGCTATTTATTTATGCCCCACTCTCTCTCTCTGTGTGTGTGTGTGTATGTTCATTTTAGTCCCACAAAAGAAGGAATTATCATATTAAAATTGTAGATGATGAGAGCACATGTGAGCAACGCCAAACAAACCGAGTAAACAAAGATACATGCATATAGATAGATAGATAGCCAGATATAGATATACATGTATATTATACAATAAACAACAACAACAAAAATATAACCAATCAACGGAAATTAAACAAACAATAAAAAACAACAACAACAACAAACAAACAAACAAACAAAGATTGTCTGCCAACAGCAACATCAGAGGGTGCGGTGCGTGTTGGAGGGGTGGTGGTGGTGGTAGGATGGAGGAGAAAACAAAAAACAATAAAATAAAGCAAAAAGGCATTTCCAACCCCCGGGGCAAGCCAAAAATAAATAAAAAATGAATACGCACGCCCTCTTTCTCCTGTGTGTCTTCTTCTCCTTCATCTTCCGTCTTTTTCTCTTCTTTTCCTTTTCCCTTCACTTCGTACATATAAATAAATATATATATTTATGAATCCGCCTACACGGCTGTTATTTTTCCGCGTTTATTTATGTATTATTTTCTTTTCGTTGGCCTTTTTTTTTTTTTTTTTTACTGTTTGTTTGTTTGTGTTTTCTTGTATGCATTTACGTACAAAGACTTATGTTTATTATTATTATTATTATGATTGGTTTTATTTTATTTTTATTTTATTTATTTTTTTCGTATTCGTTTTGTCCCCCTCGTTTTATTGTTCGTCTTGTGGATTTAAATAAATAAATAAAAATAAATAAATATAAATCTCAGTTTGAATGGGCTCAATATTATTTTTTTTTTTTCTCTTTTTTTCTTCCATCCTCTCCTCTTCTTAAAAGAAAAAAGAAAAAAAAAAAAAAAGGAACAAAACGGGGGTAATAAAAACAGAGGTAAAAGCAATAAAAATAAAAATAAAAATACACACGCAGATCGCATACGTAAAAAGTAAAACAATAATAAAAATAATAATATTGAGGGATGGGTGCAAATAAAAAACAAACAACACACACACACACACATATGTATAATATT